TAAATACACACTGTTACACAAATACAGAACAGTTTACAAACAATGCCACTGCCGGTCGCCACTGTGCAGCGCCCTGTTACTTACTTGAAGGAAAAGAAGAATAGACCCACTACAGCTAGATCGGACGGACCGATCGCCCAACTCGATCGCCTGAAACTGAAAACAAACACGTAGTGGGATGTCCACAACATGTGGGTCACCTCTTCCACTTTTGATTGATCCTCGTTTGGAATAATCCTTGAAAAGTGGTGATCAAGGTACTTGTATGGACCTCAGAGAGTCAGGGGTTGCGCTCGGCTTTGCCCATAATGCTAATGTAGTTCGCTGGCAGGTAGACAGGAACACATTTTTGATGCTCGTTCTATCAGGCTATGGTAGGAATCGACGTCCATGTGAGTGTGCCCTTTGACTAGATACTTACATGTATGTTCCACTGTCTGGCAGTAGATGACAGATGCGGGAAGTGAAAGAGCAAGGAGCACAGTTTATACAAAAGGCAACAGTCCTGACTCCGTCAGCTGAACCTTCAAGAGACAGTTTGTTGTCCATCTCTTTCTCAGAAAAAGGTTCGAATCTTTCCTTCATCCTTATACTGTACTGTTTCATAGAGAGAAATGGCCAACTACTCGCTACCTTAGAATTTTTTAGAAATTTGATGTCAAAATGTTTGAGTTTCACAATCAAGCTTTTAAAAAAAATGTAGATCTAGTTCTTTGAATATTTTGATAACTTACTTTACTTTTTTCTTCCGCTTGTACCCTGGGGTGTCGCGGGGAGACACAGGTGTCTGTCTGCAGCAAGTCGTGTGGCCTGTAGGAGGGACATCCCATGATCTTTAAGGGTGTCTGCCACAGATTCACTCCATCGTCGCCTTGGTCTTCCTCTGGCTCTCCATCCAGAATATTTAATGTTGTATGCTCTCAGAGCTGGATGGTTTGAGGGCATCCGCGTGAGGTGTCCGAATCACTTGACCTTTTGTTTTTCAATGTGTGGTAGGACTGGTGTTGCTCCCACAGTGTCCCTTATGACTTCATTTTTAATTTTGTCTCTTCTTGTTTTGTTGACCGCTCTTCTTAAGCATTTCATCTCGCATGTGACCAGTTTCCTCTCTAGGGCTTTTGTTAGAGTCCATGTCTGGCACTGATATGTGAGCGTTGGAAGGAAAATGGCGTTGATGAGCTTCGCCTTGTTGCTCATGGGGATATTGGGATGTTTCAGGAGAGGGCCCAGTTGGTAGCTGACTGCGTTGGCTCTCTGGCATCTAGTCTCTATCTCTCGATCTAATTTTCCATTTTCTGTGAAAATGCTGCCCAAGTATTTGAATTCTCTGCTTTGTTTTAGTTGGGATCCATTGATGTTGATATCCACTTTACCTGGTCTCCTGCTAATTGTCATGACTTCGGTCTTGCTTATACTGATCTTCATGTCATATTTTTCGCAGCTCGCATTTAGTTGGTTTATATGTATTCCGGTTTCGCCGCATGCAAGGATGGCTTCGGTTGTGATGCCATCGTCTCCAGCTGCCTTGTTCTTTGGACTATTTTTCAGTGCCTCTCTCACTTCACTCTCCAGGATGGTAGGTTCTGAGTGCTCAGGGTAGTCGGCGGTGAAGGGGCACTGTGTGTTTTGTGCCTGTACTCCTGATGGGTTTAGTAGTTCTTGAAAATATTCTTCCCATCTTTTTATTATTTCTTTCTCTTCGTGCAGAGCTTCTCCATTAGTATCGTTGATGACAGTGGTGGGTAAGTAGGGTTCGTCTCTCGTTCTCATTGTCTTTACCTTCTTGTAGAACTCTCTTGGTGAGGTCTTGCAGGTTTCACTTAGTTTTTCGCCATACTGGGTCCATGACTTTTCTTTTGATGTTATAACGACTTTCTTACTGTGTCTTCTTGCAAGTCTATATTTAATGTAGTCCTCTTCGTTTTTTGACTTGACAGTCTCTTTTTTTCTTTGATAGCATCTTTAACTTCTTCGTTCCACCAGGCTGTTGCTTTTCTGTGTTTTCCTCTTGTTTTCTTGGTACCACAGACTTCTTTCATTGTGTCCAGGAGAGTTGTTTTGAAGGTATCCCAAGCTTCCTTTACGGTTAGTATTGTAGAGTTGATAGAGCCTAGTTTTTCATTTAACGTGCTTCCGTTTGTGTTTCCTTATGTTTTCTTGAGCAATGTTTATATCCACTGCCGGCCTGCTAAGCCAGTCGCAGTTTCACCAGAGCCCCGTTGGCCAGCAACGTTTCGGGGTGACCCGGGTCGGCCTTCACGGCTAGCGTAACGCCTCAGTGACATAAAGTCACACCGTACTTCACCCAGACCCAGCTATCCCCTACTTTGTCCTGTTTCCATCTCCCACGGCGAAATATCAAATATTTTGATAACAATTCCAAAACATCTTACAATTTTGATAGAGGGGATAGAACATTTTGGCTTCTGCTGACCTAATGGTCTTAGTAACTCAAAACAGCCAAACATTTATGGAGAACTCGGAGGTAGCGAACTAGATCTATTGGTGTGCACATTGAAACAAATACGCTCCAATTTAATTAGGTTTTATTGGGGGGGGGGGGGGGGGGGGAGGGATGTAAGTTATTTAGCCTACTTTCACCAGAACAGAGGTATGCAATTTTACTTTACTTTACCGTATACAAAAGTATTAAAATGTATATTATTATTTCTGTGCAAGCTTCTGTTAACTCTTTAGGAACGCATCGGGCACATTTGTCTGACTAGAAACGGAACAAAGACAACGTTGACGCTCATTTTGAACCTACATGTACAAACCAGAAACGCTAGATTGAACATTTCATAGTATATATGTTTCTAAAAACTTTTTAAGACAGTGAAATAAGAAAATATAATGAGAAAATATGCATGGATAATGAGGTTTAGCTTCTTCAGACTTTGGAAAGACCAGAATTTGCGTCCTGAATGGGCTGTCATAGTTTGGAAAAAAATAAAAAGGTGTGTGTTTTCTAGATGGGCGGGTGTAGAAACCCGCATCGTCTAGGCTCTCTAACTAGAATACGGCGGACACACAGAATATAAACAGAAAAATAATAACATGATAATGATAAAAATATCATCTTAACGTAAACGAACAAAAACGTCTGCAGACTGGCACTGAATGAGGAATAAGACAGATTGACAAGACTTACTTTGAGTCTTGTAGGCCAATATTGACGTTTTGACAAAACTTAAACAAAAACGAACAGTGAATTGTGGAGCTCTTTTTATGGAACTATTTTCATTTTATTGCCCCGAGCGTGACAACCGCGTAACACTCGTTTCAAAACTTCGCGCAAGGATACAAAGAGCGACACACAATCTATCTAGGTCACGCCAGGTAAATCGGCGCCGTTCCGCACAAACCCATGTATCACACACACCAGCACATAGGATAGAGGGGCACACGCAGGTATTTTGAACGGACTCGAAAGACGCCATTGCACTGAGGACATCGGCTGCGACAGTCCTCCCATCTAACTGTTTGTATGACATTTGGAGCAAAAATGTCGTGGGCTCCTGTGGTGACGACAGCAGTCCTTCTCTTTCTTTGTGTGGGAGAAGGTAAGATTGGACAGAAAGAATTCGAAGACATTTTCTCACCGTTTACAGTGTTTGTGTCATCAGTTATTATACGTTGATTTGTGGGTTCTTATGTCGTCAAGAGACTCTAGGAGAGGCCCTGTTGTCGGCTCGACTTGAGGTGGACTCGACAAATTCCTTTAATCGCGAGTTTTTATTTGCTTTTTTTCTGTACTGGTTTTGATGATGAACGTCTATGCCCGCAAGATCATTTTTATTTGAGTTAAAAAACTGTACAACTTAGGACTTAGGTACTAAACATGACTTCCAGTCATTCTTCTCTGTTCGCTTCCGGCTTTGTCACTCAGGAAAACCCGGAAGCATCTTCCCCCCCAACTAGGGCAGGGCCTATGCCGCTTGTGCATACATTTCCCTTTTTGTATACGGCTCGAACTTCTTGACTAAAGCAAAAGCTGTAAATAATGTAAAACCTATCTAGTGCTACACAATTCACAAATTGTATTGTATATTATATTTTATGTAGACTATAATTAGTTTATTATAGATTGTCCTTGTAAGAAACTACACTTCGAAAGCGGTAAGATTGAAGAATACCGGACCAGCGGACTGACTTTGCCTCGACGTCTCAACCTTAGGAATTCATAATTTTCCCGTTTTTAATATCTCTCAACGGAGAATGTCGGACCGGTAGATCTATTCATTAAAATTTTGTCAGGGGGGAGACCCCTCCTCCACCCCAACCACCCGCCCCACCTACCCCACTTTCTCGCGCAATAATGTACGAGTGGTCCGGTATTCTTCAATCTTCCGTTTGCGGTGCAGCAAATTGGGGGCCCTAACCTAACCTAAAGACACGGATAGAGATCCGTTTAAATGGGTTTTTTATTTCACTGCCTTTTTATTTATTATTTCAAGAAGAAGCAGTTTATTAGTAGATATCTAATCTAGCCTCTTTCACAAAAGCATTCAGTTTAATAAAAGTAAAACATTTTCCTTCCTTTCTAAACTTTCTTGTTCAACCCTCTGCCTGTAGACTGTAGTAATATAAGTACTGTATCAGACTTAAGTCTTGCTCTTCTTTTTTAAATGTGATTTATACGGGAAGTGGCTATCCTCACCCGGGGTGTGAATAAAAATACTATCGACCTCTCACCACGGTGAGACTTGCCAGCGTTGGCTATTCTCACCCGGTGTGAAACAAGACCTGTTTTTCCTAATTTCGTAATACTGTCTATCGGTGTGTATGAGCAAATTGATAAAAGCAAAGAACAAAATGACATTATAGCACAAAAGTAAGCTAATTTGATCGTCTACAAAGATGCTATGGCTATTTCACTTTTCGAATCAAGCCGAAATACACGGGTCGCCATTTTGTTTTGCCTGGAAGTTCTCGCAAGATCTACTCCTTCCCTCTCTCTCTGTCTCTTTCTGAATACTGTCTATCGGTGTGAACAATCAAATTGACGAAAACAAATGTTAAAAAAACAAAGTTAAAAAATGATGTTAAAAAACAAAAGTAAATTAATTTGGTTGTCTACAAAGATGCTAGGGCTATTTAACTTTTCAAATCGAGCCGAACTAAGCGTGTCGCCATTTTGTTTTGCCCTGAAGTTCTCGCGCTACTCCTCTCTCTCTCTTTCTCTCTCTCCACTGCCCACAGACAAAATTGCACGCTTTTAGGCCAACAGTAGTAATGGAACGTTTGTTCACGGCACAGAATTCTACAATTCTGTTATCACAGTGATAATTCTGTGGTTCAGGGTGAACGCTACACTCATGGTTGGCCTGACACAGCCTCTGGACCAGGCGTTCTTCGGGGCCATTATTAAGTCAGCGTAGCAAGAGGGGGTAAGGAAGTTTGTGATGGACACCACGGAATCCGTCACACGGAGGACGTTTGCCGGCATCCTGAATTGAAGGCCTGGACAACAGCTGCTCGGCTAAAAACAGCCCTGAGGGGATTCACCAAGTCAGGGCTGTTTCCCTACAACCCTGACGTTTTCCTCACAAGTGACTAGCTGAACCCAGCTGCACCTTCACAGGGTCCCCTGTCCCTACCCTCCACTTGTCATCCACCTTGTCTGCCTCTGCCCCATCCACCTCTTTTGCCTCTGAACCGTCCACGAAGTCACAAACTCGCCGTCATCGACTCTAGGAAATATTCTCCATGATCTTTAAGCTTGGGGAGGAGAAGGTGGACCTGTACCTCAAGAGCTATGACAATGGATACGACCTCAATATCGACCCCGACTACAACATTCCAGTCTGATGGACAAAACCTCTCTACATTGACAGAATATGCAATCATAACAAAGAAATGAAGCCCAATTTTTTTCATGACTGTGAGATCATTACAAATCAGTATTGTATTGCCTCAAACCCGATGATCTGTCATTATTTCAATAAAAACACTGAGAGTTGTCTCTGCCAGCATCACACCAGCCCTCACATCGAGCGAGTCGACTCAATACTGTAGTGTACTGAGGGCTTGTGGTAGTTTTGCGGAATGATTCATGCAAAATAATTCGAAGCCAATGACTTAATTCTAATAGAAAAAGAACGGTTCTTTGGTACCTTTTTTAAGCGGCATTTCGTGTTTAAAATTATCTTTGATAACTTAGACCTTTTTTTAAAGGTTTTCTATCCAAACCCCAAAGGCCTAAAATAATAACCACAGGAAACCACGCTCAAAGCTGTATAGTTCTCTGTGAATGAAAAGATCATTTTGCAAAGCATTCGAATGCATGGGTGTCAATTTTGAACCGGCCCACCTCACCTTTCGATCACGAGGGGCTTCCCTTTCCTTGGCGATTCTACTGCTCATACTCGGATTATAATATACAAACAACTTACTCTATTGTAAAGAAGGAAATCTGAACTTTTCCAAAGTGTTCAGCATTTGGTGCTTTAAAGCAAAAGAGCAAAGAAACAGAGATCTGAATTACCCCCATTTTACCAAAACCACGCTCGGAAGGCCGCGAGTCGGCTTTCGTGCTGTGTTTACGCTACCTAATTATACGTTTGCAATAGCACCATAAACACACAAGAGCACACACACACACACACAAACACACACACACGCACACACACATACAAACACACCAACACACTTACACCCACATGCACCTAGACCCCCTCCCCAGCCTCTTGGTAAGGAGTCCGCTTTGAGAGATCAAGAGGAAGGTTAATTAATCTTTTAAAAGCTCTAAAATACTATAAAAGCGAATCTTTAAAGTCAACCCAAGTGTAAAACTGAAAGACCAACAAACGATAGACGATAACAGCTGGCAGGGCACGCCCACACAGTCAGCTGTTTACGTAAACAAGCTTGAAGTGAGCTAGAAGCTACCGCTTTTACTCCGTTTTACCAATCAGAGTTGTCTACATTTCAGACCATTCATGCTCGAAAAGGGGCCAAAATCTAAAAATAGTTGCGAATGAAGAACATTTAAGCAAAGATACTCCAATGTGGAGTATATTTTTGGTTAAAGCAAAGGTAGCCAGGAGGTAATGGCGCTAAAAATAATCTCACAGCTATACCCCAGCAAGGTCCAAATTCCTTTATCTCGTCACCCAAGCTCTCAACAAACCACACATACGTCCAAAATAACTCAAAATGAAATGGTTATAGTCAATTAATTTTGTTTATTTTAATTTTATATGAAGCAGAAGACATCAAACTTTCAATATATCCAAAAAACAAAAATTTCATGAAAAGTCACTGTTTTGCCTTTCGAGCCTCGTAGCTGATAAAACAGTGCGTCTTACAATTGATATTGACCGAGGCAGACGGAATATGATATGAATCATGACACCCAGACTGGTTCATGAGTCGATATTCTGGTTCTAGGCCTTTTCTCAGGCTCAAAACAAGATTCATTTTTATATAGTTTATATATAGGCCGGCCTGCAGGCGAATATGATGAAGGGAAAATATAAATAAGTCGCACTAGTCAACAGTGCGCCACCACCTTCTGTATGTAATCAAGATTGTAAATATTTGGTAACTCTTACTTGAAATTATCTTTCAAACCCTCAAACTGGTATAAAATAACCTTGCTTTGATAAATTGATGGTTTTTATTTCAACATTCTAGGGTCCAACAGTATAATAATAGTGAGTGTCTTTTGAAAATAGGCTTCTGTCGCGATCACATGGAAAGTTCCTCCTTTTTTAAAATTCTGAGTTGAGACCCATGTAAATGGAATGAGCTTGTACTTGTATGTGGCCTATACCCTGCCAGGGGTGAAAGGCACTGATGATGATATTAGGAAAAGGAGATGGAATTAAAGAATTAAAATAAAGAAATTGCCGAAGTGGACAGATGGCTTTTCCGGAAAATATGTGCTTTGGATGTAGGCTTACTGGTATTTTTTTTCTATGGTGCAATATGTGTCATGGCGTGGTGGAATCAGGACCTCGTCAATTTTGGGGCATGTGGAATTATTGATATCTTCTTAAAGCTTGTTAAGTTGTCTTGCTATCGGTGGAATAAAGTACTCATCTTTCTTGAACTGAAATTGAGATATTAGCAATCGAAGGAGGTGGGATCGCCTGGTTTCAGGGGTAAAATAAGCGAGAAAATTTCCACCAAATTTTGGCAACTTCCATAAGCTGAGAGTCCTTGGAAACTGACAATTTACATTTTTTGTTCCTTTCATCAATGTTTTTTCAGTAAAATCCAGGCAAAAATGTGTTAATAGGAGGACCTAAAAGGCGCTGAGACAAAAAAAGAAAATGAAAAAAAAATTTTAAATGGCGGTTTCTTTGATTTCAATATTTTGACGAGAGTCTGATTTCTCCACGATGCCTCACATATAGTTCTGATCTTTGATATTTTTTATTTAGTTGCCTCCTTGAGACCTTGTTTTTTTTTTATTATCATTACATAGTCTTTGGGAGTGTGTTCTTAGCACTGCTATTTCAGTTTTTTTTAAAAAGAATTGTGTCTACTATTCTCAACAGGTTAGTCTGAGGTTAGAAATACTAGTAGATCTATAGCTGTTCTTCTTTTCCTTCAAGTAAGTAACTCTTTAAAAAAAAATAAAGAATAAAAAAATAATTTATGTATATATATACAAATACTTTTTCAATTAAGAAACAATCAGTTCTATTTGAATGGAAATTTATAAATAACATTGCAACCTTGCAACTAAGACAAAAAATGTCATTGGTTTTTATCATTTTGGAAAATGCTGCACAGTGCTCTTTGCTTTTCAATTTTCTGCATCTTGAAGTGGTTGTCTTTCACAAGGCTCAGATATGAACACCAAACCCAGAGGATACTGAAATTAAATTTTAATGGTGTTTGCTAAATATGTACATTTTTGCAAGAAGAAATCATATATGTTATCTGTATATGTCATCTGTGACATGTTGGGCAGTACCAATAGTTGAGTTGAAAACTTGATTAACTGTCCTCTTCAGATGCAGTATCTGATAATCTTTTCAACTTGAATGTTAGAAAAAAGCATCTTCTTTTCACTATAGATGCATATTTAAAATCGGAAAATCTTAAGAACTGCTTGTTAAAAAATGGTTGTGGTGGCAATTAGTATATTTCTAAGCTGTCCTTTCAAGAACAGCTCATGCATATATATAAGAAACTTGTCTTTTTCTTTCTTTTTTTTTTTTACTTCTTAAAAAATATCTGAGTTGAATTTTTTGAATTTTGATAATTTCTTTCTTCTTCTGACTAGGTCTGGGTGCAATAATAGACAAAGAAGACTTTGAGGTTGGAACACCTTTGACCATCACCTGCTCTAAGAATGCTGCACCCCAAATACCGGACATCGGAAACACTATATCCAAGATAACCTTAAGCAGGACGACTGAGAATACAGAGGAGCTGTTGGCCACGTATCATCCTGCTAACTCTTTCGAGAAATATGAGGTGAAGTCATAATTATGGGGTTGCATGTTTTTTTCTATGTTTTTTTTTTAATGTAGGTGTTTCTGCACCCCCCCATAGACACAATTTTTTTTTAGATCATTCAGGAGGCAGGCTTCTGACTCAGCTGTCAGGGCCAACACAGCATGTGCTCAGTTACTATAAATAAGCTTAAATAACTTAAGTGCACAGTATGCATTAGAGCTATACCCATTTCACTATTCGACATTCTTGATTTTTGCGCTATTCACAGCCTTTCGAAGCATGTCGGAGCCATTCGAATGCTGTGTGATTTTTTTCAATAATGGATTTTTTCTAATTTTTCTCCACCAGTAGTAAAATTAAAGCATAATAAAATATCTAAATTCACTGAGGCAAATTCAACATTACGAGAGATAAGAAGAGCCGGGAGGAGTTATAAAACATGCCTCTAAAAGGCACTTGTGATACCATTATATTAGTATCTTAACAGACCATTGTTTCGAAGAGCAGCCAGAGATTTTGCGTACATTGCATACTGAGCTCCCCTTGACTTTCGAAGCACAAGGGGATATGGGTACCCACCACCGCTTCGAAGCGCAGCGAATGGTTTTTTTGTATGGTCATACTTCGCTCCCCTTAGACAATGTGATTCAGATTCGGTGTGTCGTGCGTGATTAGAGCCAGTCGTGTTTTTTTTATCCAAAAAAAAAAAAGAATCAGCCAGCCACCATAGCCTACTCGTGGGGAGATCATCCAAAAGGTTTATACAGTTTGTTGGTAGGCCTAAGTGCTTGGGGGGGGGGGGGGGAGGGGGGGTTGCTGGCAGAGACACATGGAATGAGAGATTAAGAGTACATATTATAAACCGTGCTGGCTAGGCTAAAAATACACGTTACACATCTTCCTGTTTCACTCACATTGCCCTTTGTCTCAATCCCTTTTCCGTTGTCTGTGACCTCTCTTACTTCATGGCTGTATTGTAGATTGTTGGAGTACATTCTGTTCTCTTGCTAATGTCCATTTCAAACCGGTTCTTTGATTGCTGCACTGTAATTTTAGAGATTGTGTTGTCCTTCAGTCTTCGGACAGCAAATTTGCATTCCTTTTCTTTTTTATTTGTTCAAAATTATATGCATAATTTGTAGTATTATTATTAGGCCTATTATTCTGCTAACAGAATTCTCTTGAACCGTTTAACCTTTATTTGCTTGGAGTCTTTGCTTATATGTATATCTGTGCAGTAAAATTTAGTGTGATTTGATCTAATTGCACCATGACAAGCAAAAGCACGGGAAGTATTGTTTGGCTGTTATTTGAGAGGATTAACGAAATAAAGCTACCAATTAAAAAAAATCCACCAAAAGACACTACATGTACAACCGAACAAAGAGCAGTGTTGTGCGACACAGCGACAGTGTGCGTGCATATTAGATCTATTGCTCGCCGCTCTTTCGGTGGAAAGTTTTCCTCTTGTCCAAGTCCCTCCATCCCCCACCCCACCCTTTTTTTCCCCCAGCAGACACTAGACACGAGTGATCGCCTGTTTTTATCGTCCCCCCCTCTTCCTTCCCCCTCTGTAACAGTCGCCTTTTTGTTATTTAAAAAACAAACAAACAAACCAATGTTTCATAACCTCACGCGATGGGCAAGCCATGGGTGCTATACGTAAAGAGGCAGACGCACACTGAGCTGAGAATCACTGGATGAATAGTGCTGTGACTGTGAATAGTGAATATTCAATAAAGAATGCCTCTGATAGTGATAGACTCATCGTATTAGGCCTCACCTTTGGCCTTCATGTACTTGTATAAGAAGAAAAAACTATTTGCACACGGTATTCGAATACCACAAATAGTGACGTCGCGCTTCGAAGCTTTGATGATTTTTAAAAACTCAAAATCGCACAGCACTAATATGCATGCACTGTCTTGAACACAGCAACAGGTGCATAACGAAGAGCGTTACCACCCCTATGTAAGGAAACAAGAAGATTACGAGACTACCTGTCCTACTTAAAGAAACAAGATTATAAGACTACCATCCCTACATAAAGAAACAAGATTACAAGACTACCACCCCTACGTGAAGAAACAAGATTACAAGACTACCGTCCCTACATAAAGAAACAAGATTACAAGACTACCATCCCTACATAAAGAAACAAGATTACAAGACTACCACCCCTACGTGAAGAAACAAGATTACAAGACTACCATCCCTACATAAAGAAACAAGATTACAAGACTACCATCCCTACATAAAGAAACAAGATTACAAGACTACCATCCCTACATAAAGAAACAAGATTACAAGACTACCATCCCTACATAAAGAAACAAGATTACAAGACTACCATCCCTACATAAAGAAACAAGATTACAAGACTACCACCCCTACATAAAGGAACAAGATTACAAGATTACCATCCCTACATAAAGAAACAAGATTACAAGACTACCATCCCTACGTGAAGAAACAAGACTACAAGATAGAGTTGGGGTGAGCGGAAGGATGGGTTCGTTATTCGCAGACTCAGTCTGAGCGAGCGGGTAACGGACGACCGTGCGAGCGGAATGCGAGCCTCAAAACAGTTTGTTTCTTTGGCATGCTCCACAATTTTTTTCACTGAGTAGGCGGGCTAACGGACTAACTCTAGCAGACGAGATACTCGACGCGAGGTGAAGCCCATCGTCTATTGTTTCTTATTGAGGCCTAATGTTTCAAGCAACTAGCGGTGCCACAGGGAGTGAGAGATGCTGGTGACGTAGTACTATGTGTGTAACCTTTCACCGTGTGTGTTGGTCATACTGTGTACGCTCCAATTTATCGCGAAGGCGAAGTTTAAAGAATTCTCAAAGGCCTTTTTTTGGGTGGGTGGGTAGAGAAATTTCCGTCAACAACGCCTAGCTAGAATGTGGGGCAGGAGGGCGAATTTTTTTTTTAGGGGAGGGGGGGACTGTAAGTTGTATGCAATGATGAAGGAGTCGTTCCCTGTCCGTCCGTCCGCCCGATCGAATGTATGGAGTCTCTCTGTCCGCTCGCTAAACGAACTGTTGTCTCAGTCTGATGTGCAGCGAGTAGCGAACGAGTCTTCACATGCGGATGACCAGCGAGTAGTTTGTTACCCATGGACGCTGCTTTGGCGAGCCCGACCCAACTTTACTACAAGACTACCATCCCTACATAAGAAAACAAGATTACAAGACTACCATCCCTACATAAGGAAACAAGATTACAAGACTACCATCCCTACATAAGGAAACAAGATTACAAGACTACCATCCCTACATAAGGAAACAAGATTACAAGACTACCATCCCTACATAAGGAAACAAGATTACAAGACTACTATCCCTACATAAGGAAACAAGATTACAAGACTACCATCCCTACACAAGGAAACAAGATTACAAGACTACCATCCCTAACTGTATGGTCATCTGTTCGAACCCCTTCAGGGGCTCCATGTTGTGTCCTTGGGAAAGCACTTAACACAAATTTTTCTCAATTCAACCTGGAAGAAATGGGTGCCAGGCTGACGAGAACCAAAAGATCTGGTTAGTTTATTAAATATTTAAGCACTCTACCTGCTGCTTTCACTGTATGCTTCCCAGGAAGTGGAGAATGTTTCTGAGTGTGCTAGGATCTGCTGGGAAAATAATAGTGGTGAAGCACATAGAGCATGCCATGTAGCATGTATGTGCTATATAAATACAATTCTTATATTATTATTATTATTATTATTATTACCGTTTCAAATGAAACCACTTTGACTTTCCCACAACTGCTTGGACATGCTCTGAGAAAAAACGAATATTGTATCGTCACTGTCGCAAGCAATCCTCTTCAGTCCAAATTTTCAAAATTTTCTTTGACTTTTACATCCTCCCAAAGATCTATCAAAGATGAACCGTTCCACATCACCAAAATGCAATTTAATGCTATGGTCAAGGCTTACAATTTTCTTGTTTTTCATGATTCCTGATATTTAGGACGACACAACAAAAGATATTTTTTTGTCTCTGGTGTAAAAAGTGCCCTAACGGACTTAAATGCCGTGCTTGTGACACAGATGATATCTCTGTAGCCTTTAGTGGACATCCCTGTTTGACACATGATCTTTTCATTCTTTCGTTTTAGGAAACAAGGCCGATCACTAATGGGGTTTACGAAATGACTGGTGGTCAAAATGGTAATATTATTGGCAACGCAAACAACATAATCTTGAGGATGACTATTGATCCTGCCCAGTGCTCTGATTCAGCAATGTACAAGTGTACTTTCTTTTATTACAACACGGACAGTAAAGAGTTGGAGGCGGCGTTCACCGACAATACTACTGCTATTGGTAAGTTTGTTAGGTTAGATTTGAAATTTGTTTCGGTTATGTATCAGGGCACGGTGGAATCAGGGGCGCTCGTCAATTTTTTGGGTACATGGAGTGATTGGTATCATCTTAAAGCTTGTTTGTTCGTCTTGCTTACGAGGAAAAAATACCCATTTATCTTGAAGAGAAGTTGAGGTATCTGCAGTTGAAAGAGGTTGGGG